CCAAGGACATTCCGCTGGGTTACCGGACCTGGGCAGTCCTATTATACCATACCATACGAGTATAATTCACTCGGTTTTAATTGCAATTAGCGTGATCACTTCCCGTTCTTGCATTGTTAGAAAAAACTTTACTGACTATTATTTATTTAGTTAGAAAAATTTATTAATAATATCATCAAGGAATCAATGCGGGTATGATAAAATATATTAAATATAATTAAGTAAATAGATACAATATTTTATTAACACAATACTGTAACAAGTACTATTTTTATAAATATTTTAATTAATTAATGTGAAATTGAAAACTAATATTAAAAGTTAAGACTTTTTAAAAATAATTCATTTAAAAATTTCGATCAAAATTCTTTTACATTTTAAGATAATTGTGTAAAATATTTTACACAAGAAGTGCAATATTATATTAAATTAAACATTTTCTTATTTTGAACCAATTTATATAAAACTGTATGACATGTGGTTTTTGTTAAATAATTCAATGAAATTCAATAACTTATATCTCGTTTATCTTGGTGATTGAATGATTAATGCGAATCTATCACTTTAAATACTTCAACAAGTGCCCTAAGAATGCAATTTTGAATTAAAATTACTAGAATTTATTAATATATTAAAAATGTAAAATCATAAATACTATTGATAAAAGTATAGTATTTTTTCAAACATTAATATTTATTAAGACTATTACCACATTTGTAACATAAAATCAAATTGTGATTAACAATATATAAACAAGATATGAAATCCTTTTGATTAATTAAATCAAAAATCATTATTTGATTTTAAGACATAATTTACGAAACATATGAACATTTTTTTAACACATCATAACTGCAGTAATCCTTAACCAAATGTCATCATAAATGGCTTATTATAGCGAAAATAACGACGGGGATGACCACCAGTCGGGACAGTATGCCTGTGGAGTGGGCTCATGGCGTCCCAAATGGCTCCAGAGGTGGGCCACGGCTAAGATGTTTATATTTGTGTTGGCAGTGCTGACCACACTTCAGGGCTCGGCCTTTGCCTACACCTTAGCCTCAGTCACGACACTTGAGAAACGGTATGCTTTTAATAGCGTTGTGTCGGGTATTATACTCATCGCCGATGACGTGGCGGGACTTATATTCAAACCCATATACGGGTACATCGCTAACCGCGTGCATCGGCCCCGTCTTATAGCCTATTCGTGTCTGTTAACGGGAATGGGATGTTATTTGGCTGCCTTTCCATACTTTATATACGGGCCGGCGGTGCACCTATTGGGCGCCTCCATCAACGCCAATAAGTCTAATCTTGAGTTTTGTGAAAGTAATCGGACTATTGATGAGGATTGTGACCGAATAGAGCAGTCGGGCTATAGTTTCATCCCGGTGCTCTTCCCATTAATTTCCATGTTTCTCTATGGCATCGGAGAGTCATCTGTTTATTATGTTGGGATACCGTTCCTCGATGACAGTGTCGATAAAAAGAGTTCACCCATGTATATAAGTATTGAATTTTACTAGTTATGTGTATTATAAATACAATTGTCTAAATATTGTTATCTTATATTACATTTAATTAAAACATAAATTGTTTGACAGGTCTGTCCGCAAGTTTGCGTCTATTAGGTCCTGCCTTTGCATTTCTACTTTCATCGTTTGTTTTAAGTTATTATGAAAACCCTTTCAGTTTAGTAAACATTAAAATATTTTATATTTAATGTCATTAATAATATAATTTTAATTAATATAGTGGACCCTGGTATCAATGATAAGAGAGACCCACGTTGGGTAGGAGCATGGTGGCTTGGATTTGTAGTATTAGGCACTCTCATATGCATATGTTCACTACCAATGCTACTTTTCCCTGCTGAGTTTAAGAATAAATCTGTGGTTAATTCGGAAACCAATAAGAAATCACAGTTTACTACTAAAACACACAAAAAGCAAGAGTTAAGTACGTATTGACACAACCCATAGAAGTTTATAACAAAGAAAATGTTAATTATTTTGATTCAATTGTAAGGTCTGAGTAAACGTCTGTTACGTTTAGCCAAAAATCCCATTTACGTGTCGTACACATTGGGCTCTATATTCCATTGGTTTGCAGTTTTGGGATTTTACACATTCAAACCCAAGTATCTCGAGTCCCAGTATAAAAAGTCTGCCTCAACCGCCAACCTATTGTCCGGTATGTATTTGTCTTAAACTAATAATTAAAGGCATTTATTTAACATGTATTATAATACATTATTGTACAGGTATTGTGGGCACTATACC